GATGAGTTGTAATCAAAGTACACTTATTACCCCTGTCCAACTGTACAGTTTTAATTATCGCTGCAAATGCACAGGCCTGATGAAGAGTTGCTGAAAACACATGTTTGCCAAATAGACTTTTGAAAATAAAACAGGTTGGCTGGATTTTAGCTACTACTGTGAAGTAGTAAACTGGACTCAATCCGACAAAAACAATCCAGATTCCGTTGAGTCACCTGCACTAGGAAAATATACGTTTTTATTCAACTGCTGATGAACTTACTACTACGTCACTAAAATAATAAAACTACCATTTGGCTTTGCTTGCGACATTGCCCAGATACAAAGAGCACAAAATTAAAATCTAATCGGGAATCCAGAGCCAAGGTACTATACTTCTGCTCTGCTGCCTAAGAATAAGCTTGATATCCACACAAAAATTGAACTTAGAACTTTAGTCATGGAGTACAATAATCGACCACTGCATCATGGGCTCGTTGCGCTTGTCAGAAATATGATGGAAGTAGGACTACCACCGATCTGATTAGGTAACATGCTTGCCCCATGCCCATGTAGCTCAATGAAGACCTCTTACAGGCAGTCACACAGCGACTTATGTTATATATTAAAGTGGCAAAACTTATAATAAGCCTGAAGCCGCAGGGAATGTTAGAAATGGGGAACAGAAAGTTGGACGCACTCGTAGTGCTGAAGTCCTCGAGCACTGGCGTCCAACCCTATCGCGATGGGTCCTTTCTCTTTCAGGATGCAAGTCAATGCAGGTTCTTTCAAGTTACTCAGTTTTTCGAATCCATTTGTGCGAAGAATCACTTTTGCAGGATCATAGTTACACTGTGTGACCTTGAAAAAGGAAAATGACATGTTTTATACTATTCAGTTATATGTTGAAACAATCTGCAAATAATGTTGAGCTATTAAGGGTCAGTCAAACGCATTAAAGATCAAAACTTTTGGAGGGTTTAAAGTGGTCGCAGCATGCGAGACGAATACCATTTTTTTCGATCGGAGATGTGTTATACCTTTGAATACTAGCGATTATTTGAAAGTAAATTAACTGTTATTCAGGAAGATAAGAACAGTGGCTTAGGAACGCGAGTCCACGTTCTGCGTCAGCCAAACTTTCCGTCGATGCATCACCTT